GAGGGTCGCGGTGAGGATTTGTGGGGCAAAAACATTGTGGGCGGAGCCTGCTACGAGGCGTAGCGCGGAGTCAAGACAAAATGTCTGCAAATCTGTCCCCAGGAGCATTCACAGCCGGACAAGTGGATGCAAGGTTCAGCCAAGAAGGGTCAGCGGGTGAGGAATTGTGGGGCAAAAACATTGCTGGGCGGAGCTGCTCCGAGGTCGAGGCGGAGTCAGACAAAAGGATTGCAAAAACAGTCCGCGAAGAGGGATTCAAGACCGGAAGAAGAGTGGATGAAAGGTCACGCAGAGGGTGACGCGGGTGAGATTGGTGGGCAAACATTGTGGGCGAGGGCCTGCTCCGAGGTGGCGAGTCAGACAAAAGATTGTCAAACGGTCCAGAGCACTTATCAAAAGACGAAAAAAAGTGGATCAAGTCAGCAGAGGGTCGCGTAGAGGATTGTGGACCAAAACATATGTGGCAGGGGCCAGCGCGAGTGGGCGGAGCCAGCGAAAATTCCTAAATCTTGTACCTCGGAGCAGCTTCAACGCCGCAAAAAAAGTGGATAGGTCAGGAGAGGGTCGTGCGGTGAGGATTGTGGGCAACAAAACATTCGTGGCGCGGAGCCAACGACAATTCACCTAAACTGTCCCTAGAGGCCCTTCAAAGATCGGAAAAAAAACGATGGATAAGGTCAGGAGAAGGTCGTCGTGAGGATTGTGGGCAGCACACTTGTGGGCGGCTGCTCGAGGTTGGCGCAGCCTAGACGAAAATTCCTAAAACTGTCCCGGAGACACTTCAAGACCGGAAAAAAAGTGGATCAAGGTCAGAACGAGGTCGTCGGTGAGGATTGTGGGGCACACTCATTGTGGGCGGGCCTGCTCGAGGTTGGCGGAGCCCGACGAAAAATTCCATAAACTGTCCCGGAGCACCTTCAAAGACGGGAAAAAAAAGTGATCAAAGAGCTCAGGCCAGAGGTCGTAGGTGAGGATTGTGGGCACATAATTGTGGGCGGGGTCTCCTGCTCTGAGTGGAGTCGGAGTCAGACGAAGAATCTGTAAAATAGTCAGAGTGACTCCTCAGCCCGAAAAACAATGGAGTAGCAGAACAAAAGCGGGGATATCAGTTGAATCTAGAAATATGTGAGAAAGCACGCGCGGGCGAAGCCGGCGCCCGCCCGCGCAGCCGGCCGTATACAGAGGAGGGCACCGCCGACGTCAGGCCGCCGAGGCGAACTGGTATGAATATGACAACTATAGATCTCACCTCACTGGCGCCAGTGGTGCGGAAATTCGTGCTATAACCTCTCTTCAACCCAAATCGATGAGAAATTTTATGCTAGGGTTGTTCGCTGTACCTAATTATTGATATGAATTCATTTTTAGTAAGGAGCGCCTAGCCGTCACAGTGATCAACGTCATCTAAGGGCTGAATTACTTTCCCGAGGGGGGGGGGGGGAAATCAACATTCCTCCTTGCCAGAATCAGCCTTTTCATAGCGCTACTGGCGCTGCATGCGCAAAGATGAAAAATAGCGAGACTCGTGGCGCAAGTCGGCGACTGAGGTGGAGTTCCGCGCGCCGCATAGCGCCGGTGATAAAATATAGGCGCTTGTTAATGCTAGCTGTCAAAAGCGGGTTTCTGATGTCGAGGATGGGTGGGGTAGTAAAGGGTAAACAAGGCCAAAATAAGTGAGTATTGTGTCAGGAGTTCGAGCAACGGCCAGTGTCAGTTTACACGGATTTCGAAGAATGTAAAGGGACAACAATGCTCGGCCGGGCGTTCCGGCGGCAAATGGCTAGATTCTGCCCTAAGCCGAAAGGTGAATGTCGTTTTGGGCAGTTTGACGTGGCAAATACCTGAATATGCAGCTTCGTCTGGTTTTCGCAGTAAAAAGACTATAGCCTAAATTCCAAAGCGCCAGAGGACATGGTGAATGTCCATTTTTGTAACTGAAGAATAACATCTTCCCCATCGCAAGGTCCTGCAAAAAAGTCAAGTTTTCGAGAGCAGTACGTTTGACATGCAAAATTTTTAGTAGGGGTCCCGAGGGACGGGCTGTTCGCATTCACTGTGGCGGACACTTGCTACGAGCTCGCAATCTCCGGTCCGAACGAAGCCCGTTTCCGAAAACGCACTGGTTGCGTTGGGTTAAACGCAACTTTGCAGCGGCAGGCATCCAGCCGAGTACGCAAGAATAGGATAAGAAGTTTTTAACACTGGTGAGCAAAAGCGGTTCATGACAGTTGAGTTTCGCGTCCGCGTGAGAACCCAAACCAAGTTACCAGCTTGAAATGCCTGTTGAAAGGAATCGCACTTGTTCGCTTCTTAAATGCCTAGATATTAGAGCCGTATGTAAGATTATATGGATTCGCGTGGCAAGCGGACTGCATAAAACACGAAAAAGTTGCTTTCCAGGTGTGGCCACAAGCGAGAAATGGCATCACAGTCAAAGGAGTGGATTGTAGGAATAATTGACGTGCCACCCTTTCGAGTTTCGACGCCTCTGATAGGCTAGTGAAGCTGGGTAAAAATGCGGTTGCTTATCAGGATTCCACTCTGATCTCAGAGCCATTGCAAATGGATCAAAGGGCATTCCTTCCATTTTAGAAACGCAAAGACACGCTACTTACGTACCTTCAGAGTTGCTTAGCAAAACGTTTTTTTTCCTTTTCTCAGGTCCAGAACAACTTTTAGGCCTCTTTCGTCAATCCCTATCCTTATTCTGAAAGCCTCTCCGGGAACTAAAGTTTAGTGATTCGAACGCGGACCACAAGCTCCTCTTGAAGTTGTCAATACCACGACCATGGCTGCGCCTGAAGCTTTTGGATGGACGTCTCTCTCTTTTTCATGCGTCATAGCCATCTGGTGCAATATCCCGGTCATCGCAACGTGATGGCACGGAATTGAGCTTCCGACATGACTTTACAAAAACGCTCAGTTATGATCCGGCCAAGGTTTAGAGCCTCGCTAAGGGAACAGCATGAGCATTACAGACAAAAGTATTTGTAATGTAATAGAACAGTAGGGCCTTGTACAGGAATTGTGAAAAAATACCGTGCAGCGCGTATGCGTACGGTCTCGTTCAGTTGGCCGCAACTTGACTAGATAGTGAATTTACTAGCCCGATAAAGCGGACTCTATTATAATTCTACGCAGATTCTCCAGATTCACAGAGATTATATATTCTGTCTGCAGTGACGCATATTGTTCAGAAATCAAGCAAACAAAAATTTTTATCATCCGCTTCCGCTCGGACTGGTGCGAGGATGGTAACTGACCGTTGTGTGCAGCGATACTTTCATTTCTTGTGGACTCTTGTGGAGAATATGTGTTGTTCCTATCATTTCGTGGAAGAATACACATGTGCTCTTACCCGTAAGATCCCCATTCCACCTTTTCGTTTTTTTTTTTTTTTATTTAGCGCGGGAAAGAGGCTTTTTTTTTTGCCTTGATGCAAGCTCTAGAAACGGCTATCCTCGTATAAAAGTTCTGCAAAAGGAACCAAAACGGAGAACCGGCCGCTGTCCGTTGGCGAGTAATCTTAAAGACTAAGTAAAATGGCGCAACGAAAGTTTTTTGGGGCTCATATCAAAGTATTAGAACAAAAGAAAATTATTTGAGAGTCAAGGATTCAACATGCGACGCTAGGCGTCTCTGAAGCGGACAGTGCGCTTACATCCACAGC